GAACTCCACATATTTTTGTTTGTCAAATTCCCTTTAGAATTTATCAAAATTAAAGATTGAATTTTTTGGTTTGGGGGGTGTCCAGACACCGTGAACACCTCCCCCCCAAATACGCCACTGCTTGTATGTTAAAAACATATTGTTACAATGTGTTGTATAGGTTCTTACATTTATAAACATTATTAGGTATTAAGTAGGTATTATAAGTATACCGATTGTACTATCAGTTATTTATCACACGCATAAGGAAGTAATAGTTTAAAATATAGTGTACGTTCGGTCACTCAATTTTTTGATTATTGAAAGCCTAAATATATATTTTATCATAATATTATAAAATTCAGTTGGGTAGTTGGGTAGTAGGGAACAAAATCGTTTAAAACTAATTTAAAAATAAAATTATTTTTTCATAATTTATATAATATTTTGTATAAATTATAATAATTTAAGTTTATAAAAACAATATTTTTTTTTTTTGCTTCAATTTTCAATATCATTGATACTATTTATAATTTTAATTTAACATTTTTAACTGTGGTAAAAATTCTATTTTTTWTTCAGACCACTAGAAACGGAGGTTACAACGATCAAGCATTAGAACAATTGATGGCAAAACCCAGTTCTAATAATGAAATTTCAACTAATATGAAAGCAGCTATAGCAATATGCGAAAAACAGGGTATTTACCTACTATACTTATCTTATGCGATTTTAAATCATATACCAATAATCAATGTCATTATTGTTGTACCAGTCGATAGAGATCTTTGCGAAAAAGCGGTTAAGTTCACCAAGTGTATTTATGATCACAAAGAAGAGGTATGATATAAAAAAAAAAAAATATTAAAACACGGTTTTTAATAATAAAAGTTTACACGTAGATATAATAATTAAATATTATGTTAACATTATTTTTCAATAATTATTGTCGTTTCAGTTTGTAGTTAAAAACAAAGAAAATAGTTTTACGTCTGCTAATCGTCGACGGCCGTCTTCTACCTATCAAGGAAAACGTCCTGTACGCCATGTATTATGAGTTATGACTATTATGAGTCACTATATATCACTGTTTTAAATAATATTTTGTTCATACCGAGTACTTTATATTTACCTCGATTGTACGTTTCGAGTTACGGTGTATGGTTCTAGCATACTAAATTAATAAATAATATCACAAAACATCATATTCTATTTAACTATACCTATATTGATTATTTTATTATAATTTATTGCCATTGCGATGTAGGCCACCTGCAATTCGTAGGTACTTTGCAAATTTTTTTTTTTATATGTTACGGGGGAGGGGAGATTTGGATGTTGTATATCCACTTAACTTTTTTTAAACTGGCGATCCATATAATATATGAATAAGTATTTATTTTATTATTATWATATATTTTATAGAAATAACACATACAAATCCGAAACCTTTATGGTAGCTGTACATAACTAAAATAATATTACTTCGTAATAAATACTGATCATTATTTAAATATTGCATTAGTATATTGAAGTACGGAATAAAAATCGCAGGCAATTTTTTGGGAACTTTTCTGAAAACCTATATATTACGTATAGGTATGTATATATTATTGACTTCAATGAGTCAAGTAGGTACAATGGTGAAATCATCAAACAAGAATTTTTCGATCGAACTTAGTTCCCAGGTCATATTGTTGTAACATTTTGAAATTAGGGATGTTGATATTTTATACAAAGATTATTCCACAAATTTACTAGAAGGTCCAAAGTCCCAAAAATATAGTAGTGCGAAAAATATTTAAAAATGCCCAATGTCGGAAAAAATGGCGTACCGTGGCGAAGAAAGTGGTCAAAATATGAAGCTGCTCTATCATACATTTTCAAAATATGTATATTAAGTATCCCTATAAGAGGTCGAAAATCAAGGGATCATCTTATTGATAAGCAAACACTTAAATTGAAAACTAACTCAGGATCTTTTTTATTCAAAGTGGCCTAGTTAACCATCCGTTTGTCACTCGTTACCCAAATAGTGTTTATTATTCTACGATCCTTCAGATTGATACTCATTAAACCTAGTGGCGTTGTCAGCCTTCTCGGAGTTATATTGGGTGTATAGTGTTGTATGCACTTTTACCCTCCCCCCCAAATCCTAACCCTGGCCACGGCACTGCCTTYCCCGCGTGGCAAGCAGATAGTGAAGTAAAAGTCATTATAAGGTTAGGTTAAAGGTACCTAAAGACTATGGTAGGTTGCAGCAAAGGTTAGGTTAGGAAGGTGTTCATCTATCATCACTATAGTCGTGATCATTGCAATGATATTTTCCTACTAGCTATCAAGGTATTTGACTTTGTATACACATAACAATAAAGGAAAATATTTAAAAATCGTTAAGGAAATTAAAATTTKAATTACTAATATTTTTTAAGAATTAAAATTAATATTACTGTAATTTTTAACATAGTCTTAAAGCCCATATTTAGTGTTATACCAGTATAATATTATACTGGTATGATTATATACTACAGTTATATACTGGTATATAAAACCTAACCATGTCAATCATAATAAATAATGAGTCATCTGATCATAGTTTATTCTTCAATATAAATGTTTATAGGTAATAACATTTTATATTGAATTCAAAATTGACTGAAGTCCATGAGTACTTTATTATTTCCTCATTATTATAATTTTTTGCATCTTTAATACATGTGTTTACAACGTTCGCTCACGTTACCCTCATAATTTCTATTTTCATTAACTATATTTCAGTTGGTTGATTAGTAAAATTTAATCACAAAAATTACATTTTAAAAATATTAATAATTTATATATTAAAAATATTAATAAAACAATATTTAAAATATTAAAATATTCATTCCTCAATGAACTAATAATTGTAAATAATTTTTACGGTTTATAAATTTGGGAATTATATGGACTGCAGTTTTCATAATTTTTWAAATTTTTTTTTGTTTTTCGAACTACTTTTGCCTGCTGTTGCTAAACCTCTTTTCCTCTTTTTAACTCTAGTTTATTTTTGAGTACACAATTTTAAATTTTATTTCTTAATAGTTTTTTGAATTTGATTATCTTTAGCTGATTACGYACCAGTTACCGGTTTTAAACATTTTTAGCTTCTACCAGATTCGATTACCTAGTTTATTTGAAACGGACTTAAGCCCATGGTACATATTAACCTTACATGGAGATGGAGGTTGGGAGGGCTTAAATGTAACTCTAACATGGATAAAGAAACTAGACAAAAATACAATTTTGAAGGTAAAAATAAATTATATATTATTGGAAATAAATAAAAAATGGTAACTGTATATAATATTTAAGTGAACATTGTCCACCGATAATGTATAATAATATTAACATCGTGTTGGTGTACAGCGCGTGTTTACCTGCCGCATAATCTTAACATAATGTGAACTACGGAAATTGGTGAGCTACAACGTCGAGTTTAAACTTTCTAACTTTCACAATAATATATGACAATATACCTAAAATATAAATGTTAAATAATAACAATAATATAACTACGCGTTAGCTGGGTAAAGTAAAATTAAATTGCCATAAATTACTACMGATCGATCGGCCCGGAAGCCGAACATTCTCACCGTACAGTTGTTGGCTTCCGGAGGACTTGTAATTATCCCATCAATCATAAACGGGCCAGTAACGGCGTCCAAAAAACGGGCCAGTGACGGCGATAATATTATGATATTGTATGCGACACGATGGCTGTACAGCCGATAATTACTACTGTTATTATAACGTTCATTTCTTGCCGTTGTAGAAGATGCGTCCGGCAGTTGTCGACTTCGGATAGCACCGGGTCATCGCGTGGCCCGTGTAACCTGGCGGACAGGAGCACGTGGCCACCCGGTTGCGGGCGTTGCACTCGGCGTCCACGCCGCACTGGCCCGTGCACACGTTCCGGCACTGGTAGTCGACGCACGTCTGGTCGTGACGGCATTCGACGTCGGCGGTGCACTCGCCGCGCCTGCACCGGGTGAGCGCGTCGCCCGTGTAGCCAGGCAGGCACGTGCACACCGGTCGCTCCTTGCCGGTGACGTCGTGGCCGGGCGTGCACCGGGCGTTCTCGCCGCACGGGTTCGGTTCGCAGAGGTCGGCCGGCTCGAACGGACGGCACCGGACGAACGGGTCACCGGTCATGGTCCGGGGGCAGCTGCATATGGGCGTCGCTCCCCGCGGTTCGCAGTTGGCGTTGATGCCGCACACGTTGCCGCTGCACGGGTTCACGCACCGTTCGCCCGAGCACGCCGGACGGTCCGCCGGGCAGTCGGCGTGCGACAGACACTCCGCTCGACACGATGTGTACGGATCGCCGAAGTAACCCTGCGCAGGATAAACACACAGGTTAACGTTTKCCATTAGTTATTATTATTGATGGGTACAATAGMCAACAGCCAACTGGTATATTATATAATATTATAATAGCATTATGGTTATGTTTCACGACCAGTTGCGTTATTGTAGTGGTAACCGTAATTTTGCGTCCGTATACGTGTGAAATTTTTTAAACACTAGATTTTATTTCACTGCTGGGACTGTTCAAAAGACAATACGCGCGGGTACCGTTTTRAGGATTTTTTTTGATCAATGCAATGATTAAAAATCTAAATTTTTATTTGGTCCGCGATGAATTACATTTTTTTACGTTTATAACGGCCTTTAGSCTGTAATTGAAAAGAGGGTTGAAAGACTGATATATTACATGTGTAGGTGCATATTTTGATAAATCCATTTTCATTCTTATTCAAAAMCACGTAAGCGGTTTATTCCCAACTACCGATAATCTCGGTGCAAATGATTAACACAAATCTACATGACGTGATATTGTTTTGGTACCTACACAAATATTACTAAATGCATCAAATCAAAATACATCTAAATGTATCAGCTAATCATTTTAGTGTACTATATTCCTAAAAAAATCTTGTACTATGCAGATTTGAAGCAGGATTGATGATTAATGTTGTCGATGTTGATCGTTCATTTACTTACATGCAATACATAMAATTTAGTTTCATTTATTATAATAACGGTACCCTTAATTTACTTCAAATCTGAGTATAAGTGTTATWATTGGAATCGTTAGTGACTTTATCACATAACTAATGAACTGTTTTAGTATAACAGATAGTTTGTAAAATATAAATTTCTATCTATATGGAACACACATGGCTTTTTGCGTTTTCGACGTTATGGCACCGTTATATTATAATATACATAATACATTTGCTGAAATGTCACGTCACGGTCTTACCTTGGGACACGAGCAGGTAGCTCTGTGGTTGTGGACTTCACATATCGCAGTTGGAGCACAAGTTCCCGTAGAGCATGCCGAAGTGCACTTGTACTGTTGGCACATTTGGGATGGACCGCAATCGTAGTCGGAGTCGCATTCGTGACGGCAACCGGAAGAAGGTGAACCGATGTAACCAGGAAGACAGGAACACACAGGTACGTCGTTGATCACTTCGCATTTGGTGTTTTGGCCACACGGACTGGGGTAACAAAGTTCTTCTGAAAAGTTTTTGATTTAGATGTAAGTAATATACATATAAAGACAAATAAAAATTTAATAAATATACAAAAATGGAATATTTTAATGGCGGATCTATACGATTATAATTCCTTTGATGGAACTATATATTTTACGGTTGTGAAATGCCCATTTCACAGCGAACCCTAAACAATTTTTTTTTTCAAATAATATTAAATATTATTACACGGGGTTTCGGTAACGTACTTGACGACATTCGTACGATTATAAAAATAATTTTCAGATAATTCCAACTAGGATTATTATTGGTCGYGCTAATGTAMAATCGTCGTACTTGCTCGCGGTTCCTACARGAAATCGCATGGTTATTTGGGGCGGATACGAATCCAAACAAATCAGAGATTGTCAAAATCGGTCTAGTCGTTCTGGACTTATATATTTTGGTGTAACYAACTCGACTTTGTTTTATTTATATAGATTTAATTAAAAGTGCTGTATGTACCCCTTTATGCATAATTACGTGGTGTTGACTCGAGAAGGATACTTTAACGGTTAAAGTTTAACCGAACAACTAGCTTAACCAAAAACATTTTCTATTCACACCTTTGAGTATCACCTATAGTTTAAATTTAAATTTCGATAAAATTAAATAAGTTCTGCTATATCAACGTCAAATTATTTACGTGGGTCCATTTGACGACAAGACACGGATGGATCACCGACATAACGGGCTGGACAGGAACACACAGCAACATGATTCCTGGGCGAGCAGTCTGCGTTACGTCCGCACTGTCCTGAGCATACATCTTCACATTTGTAATTACGGCAAGCTTTAGAGTTTGGGCAGTCTTGATTGACTGAAATAAAATAAAAATAATATTAATCTAGATATTGTTATGTCATTTATTTCTTCTTTTCAATAAGTTTAAAAAAATGTTAGATTTTATTTACTTCGTGCGGGTCCTGGCGAATTCTTTGTTAAAATAAAAATAAAAGTTTCACATGATGACGAAACAAATATTTGTGTCGACAACAATATATTACTTATTATTGTTAACCTATAAGGCCCGACATTGTTTTTATAAGTGAGGAATTACATAATATATTTGGAATTTGTTAAGTAAAAAAAAAATTCTGATAATTAAGATAAACGAAATATAAAACTTATGCAATATTTAAAGGTTATCTTATTTAATGCGAAATTTCAAGTTTTTAACGAAATCATAGTCTTACTATTCCGTCTAATTTATTGTCACGGTAATAATGTCAAATTTTAATATACGTGTGACGAAACGAAAAGGCCATCCGAGTTGCTAAAAATATTTTAAATACTATATTTAATATATTTGCTGAGTGCTAATATTATCATATTATAATAYTATGTATTGTACTACAACATTATATTATTGTGTCGCAATCGTAATAATATTTTTTTACGATTTATGACGGATCGGCGACAAAACAATACACACTCTTGATTATAATTTATGCGCAAACGACGCGTTTACCTTCGCACTCGCCGCGTTGACAGTAGGTCGTCGGATTTCCCCAGTGGCCGGGCAGACAGCTGCAAACGGGTCTTCCTTCGGCCACGCGACACTGAGTGTTTGAACCGCACGGGCTTGGCGAACATGGATCTACGTACCGGCTCGTGTACGACGTCGGATTGTAGATGATCATACCTGATACACGCACATGCACATACATATTTTGTTAGAAATTTATGTCGTCGTCATTTATTACAATAAGMGTGAAAACGAGGGCGGCAGAACGTAAATAATAAACCCCCTAACCAAATCAGTATTCGCGAGAGCGTCAAATGTTCATAATATCGTTATTAAAATATATTATTAAATTTTTTTAAGTTTTTAATAATATTGTTGTTGTCTTTATAGATGATCGAAATATTATGAACAATTTATTGGAACATTAGTGTTTTTMTTTTATTTATATAAACGCATAAACCGTTCATATTTTGTGGTATAWAAAACAAGATCATAACACACACACATAACATACCTAACAAGAAAATAGATGAATAACTGAAAGAATACGACGATCGTATATACAGTGTGTCCCGTGAGGATTTACCCATTGCGATATCTCCCGACGGATAAGAACTTAAATTATTTCATATTTTAATTTATTAATGTTTTGGTAAAAAAAGTTTAAAAAAATATTTTTTTATTTAATTATTTCCAAAAAAATTGACCATAGCAATTTTGTAGAGTTTATTTTTCTGAAAATATTGACGTTTCAAAATTGTATTTTCATTAATTTCCTGATTTTTAATTTTTTTTTTTAGTTTCGAGAAAAATTGGGAATTATTTAACACCGTAATGTTATCAAACATGTGACCCGCCGCGCCGCGCGCATTCTCATACGATCGGCTGAATACTTTCCGTATTCCTAACAGTTATCATATTTTATTTCTTCAAAACTAGAAAAAATATTAAAAATCAGGAAATTAATGAAAATAAAATTTTGAAACGTCAATATTTTCAGAAAAATAAACTTCAAAATTGCTATGGTCAATTTTTTGGAAATAATTAAGTAATTAAATATATTTTTTAACTTTTTTACYAAAACATTAAAATAAATTAAAAAATGATACAATTGTAGTTCTTATTCCTGTGAGTCATATTACAAAACCAGAATTTTGATATCTCCATTATTTCGTGAGATATGTATAATATTAAACACACTGAAAAGCAAAACGTCATTAAATTATTGTTTTATTTTTTAAATGAATTAGGTACCTAATGATATATTTTTTTAAAAATTATATAGATAGTTATACTCATTTTACTAGGTAATTACTTTAGAAGCAATTTATAATSTATGCAATATACCTACACAGTATTTTTCTTACATTAATTTGTAATATTGTTCTCCTTCAGGGTTTTGATTATCATGAGATAATAATTGAGACAATGTTATCATTAAAGTTATAAAGTATAATATAAACCTGCGACTAAAGTTGTGCGATAATTTTTACCTACCAAAGCAATAAATAATAACTAATAACACCCGGGAGAAAATTTTTTATACTAATGCTATATATTGTAGACATTTTCTACGTAATTAGATTAAAATAATATTATAAGATCGTCGATTTTTATTACCTTCATGAAACTTATATTGACTAATGTATTTATAATTTTTTTCATTTAATGATTTTTATGTTTTAAACATTTAAATTCAATACAATGTTTTAATATATAAAAAATATTATCTAGCTTTTATTTCAAACCATAATTTGTTTGCACTRTAGTTGATTTGAAAGTGTAGTATTATTCTCAACAATATAAATCTTAAAGATTTATATGTTCAATCAGAATTCTATGGTTAATTATTTAATTACCTTGTGTTATATGACCGATTGTAACGGCCATAAGGCCCAGCATTCTTAAGCACTAAATGGAAAAAACACAAAAAATAAAAATAATAATTATAATATTTCTTACAAATCAGACATAATTGATATAAATATAATATTATGCTGTAACTATATTTATATAGTATATACCTATCTGAAACAACTTAACATACTCATCTCGACATTGACCTCATTCTAAAAATCTTTAACGATAACAAGGATATTTAACTAGTTATGGGCATTAAAATATTATGTAGTTATAACTTATAATATTTTAAATGTTTTAAATATTACAAGAATCCAGATTTAAACTCATGGCAAATCTTATGTTTATGATTATGTAATAAATAATTCATAAGTTATTTTATATTTAATTAAAGTAATTATAATGAATGTGAATACCTACATATTATGATGATACTAAAATTATGAAATTATTAAGAACCAAGTGTAATATTAATAGTTCATTTTTMTACTGAATGTACTTACCTAAATTAATATGGTATATTATGATAATATGTTACCTAAATAATGGTTAATAATACTATGGCGATGAGTTTATTGTAACATTAAATATTTAATAATAATATTTATAGGTGTTATATTTTAGCTTACCGCAGTCATGTTGTATCCGGGCAGTATCCACTGAGCACAACTAACTCGGTTGTACCGTCGACGAGAGTATTTATAACGTAAGACGATCCTTGCGTTTCATGGTCATAATACGAAATATGGGCTTGACCAGTCTCACGTGCTGCACAATATACCCACCTTTGGGTTACCGATCGCCCACACGGAACAGAAAACTAAGACTTCTGTGTTGTGACTATGTAGGTATCTCTATACATAATATTATATTATGATATGGCGAGATACCACGACAAGACAATCGCCTAATTGACCAATTCAATGTGGCCACCAAAACAAACACCCACCATAAAAATGTATAGTTTTTTTTTTTTTTTGTTCCCATTACTCAGTTGTACTGCTGCTCTACACTACACCTATATAATGTGTACAAATAATGGCGTAGGCTATACAGGAATTGCGAACAAAAAATTAATAGTATGCGAAATATTACGCATTCGATTCGATTTTTGACGTCATACAACACCCATTACATATGAATAAGAGTATTGCGAAAAAAAGACTTTTCGCCAATCAATTAAATCACAACAACAACGACTAAAAGGTAGGTACAAATCGTTTTGGACCCACGGTACCGTTTTTAGAATGCATTCCAAATACTTATTAAACTTAATATTAATAATTATTGGTTTCTATATAAGTAGGTGTAACAACTAGTATATACTTTACAATTTTTATAATTTTACTCGACAAAATAAAGAACCATCAACTTTTTAAATATTGTACTAGAGTACCAGACAGAGAATTTAATATGTTTATCAAACAAAAAAATATTTTAGTTTTATTTCAATGAATTGTTAATACAAACATATTATATACTATGTATAATCAAAGAATAAATTAAAGAACAATAGTTTTTGAGTTTAGTTAGCACGCGATATTTGATCACCAATCTATTTTACATCATTTTCGGTTTTATTAGTGTGTTTGTTTACTGATTTAAATCTTAACGWATTTTACCATGCAACTAACTATACGGTACTTGAAGAAGCGGTGATGGTAAGTACCTATAGTAATCYATGATTTTAAATAATTGTTGTTTACCCTGGCCTAGCTTTTTTTGTGTGGCTTAAAGTCATTTAATAGTCTTCATAGTTACTTTATGACTACACTTACTTAAGTATTTTTGAGTGATTCAACTACTTTTCTTCCTATATGATCAATGTAAGCGCATAAAGTCATAAATCATTAATATCATAATTTCACTCACCTGTGCGGCTGTCCCTTAGTTTTAGATACCTATGTATTTTGTTTTGAAGATAGTTCAATTCAAGGGTGTCATTTCAATTTTTTCCAGGTATGCGAACTTTTAGACAGGTCAATTTTGATATTATCACCAGGCCATTAATATGTTTATTAWTCATATATATATGTAACCTATGTAAATATTGTTTCCTTCCTTTTTATATAAATTATTTATAATGATTAATGACTAATGCAACTTTTAAATAGCTAGAAATTCAAAGAATTAAAAGTTTATAAATTATAAGGAATTAAAGCAACGAGCTAAAGCTATTTAATTATGATTTGAAAAAAAGGAAAATAAGGTATATTGGATAATGAAATACTTTTTAATTCCAAAATTAAACATCATTCATACAAAACATCAATTATATCGACGGGTGTTAATGAGTGCAAAAACATTTACAGTCTCTTGCAGTAAATCAGTGTTTATTTTATACACTTGGTTCTTCCTTCTCAACTACAATAATAATTAGATCATTTAATCTTTTCTCCCCCATGGTGGTTCGTAAATATTTTTTGACTCTTTTGAGGGATGAAAAAAATCTTTCATTTGAAGTAGTGGATATTGGTAGTGTTTTTATTATAGAAATGATATCAATTACAACGGCGAATTGGAGTATTAATGGCGGGCCAATTGTTAACATTGTTTAAGTTAGTGGTGGTGTTTAATACCTTGTTAACCCCCAAATGGCGCCCCTGGTTTAATTACATAGATCATTTAAAATTAACTAACTAAATGTTTACTAGTTAGTACGTAATAAATTGTCTAAAAATTATTTTTACTTCACACTTCTTTGTGTTTCGTAGCAACAACTTCTCAAGTTATATAACCTTATAACTTGCTTCTAAATTATTTTGCTTACACAACGTGAATGTTTGTATTCCATCTGTCAGATTATTATCCTATAAAAGTTCACGTAATTATTAATTATGCATATTTTAATATTTTAATATTTTTAAACTCTTTGAGTGAACAATTCTGGTGTTTTATACATTAAACCTGYGTTAAACCTGTGCATTTGTAGGAAATATGAATGTAAGATGTTCTATATTTATCGGAAATTTGATACAATATAGGTTGACTGATTTGTCTGCAGAGTGTATTAAGGGCAATGAAACATTTTTAAAAATATTAAAAAATTATGTATTAATATATTATAGATTTATGTGCACTTATAAATCTATATGATCGTTTACAACTAAATAAATATGAATTATTTATACAATTAATCATAATTCCAAGTCTACCTACTGGCTACTACGCACTAATTAAAATTACTTTCTATTTTGACTACTGGTAAACACATTTTATACTATAAGATTATGTATATTACCTACAAAGGTAAATAGTATTATTGCCCATCATCTAATTAAAGTATTTGATTAAAAAAAAATGTATAGGTATTATATTTTTTTACGAAAGTTTAAAATGTTTTTTTAAGAACAGGGAGCGTAGTTAATAGTGAAAATGATAATAATATATAGTAATTAATAATACTAGAGAAAACTTGTGTCTTGTAATATAATGGCGTTAACGTATTTTATATTTTTTATGATTTAATGTATTCATATTATTATAATCCACATACTAATTATCAAACCCTGATACATGTTTGAAATTTAAAACCAAACAAACGAAATTTATAAATTTATAATCAATACAGTCGATCTATTGCTAATCGTTTTACTGCCCACACACGATATAATTAATAACTACAAATAACAATATATGATGAAATTGCTTATTGAATCTTAACTAATATTATGTTTAAACACATATAAATATGCAATGTAGGTCTAATTACTCAGTTAAATCTAATTTGAATATTTTAATACGTATTTTTGTAGTAGGTTTAAGTCTTATTGCCAACTTATAACTTATCAGTAATTGGAACCTGATGACCGTTAGTTTTTATTTGATAATATCTAACATTTTCGTTGTGAGCATCTTTCAACTTAAGTTTATATTATTTCTGTAGATCATTTTTAGTTTTCAAGCTAACTTCACAGTCAATGTTGTTCATAATTCAATGTGCATATAATACATATCATAATATCTTGTACTTTTTACCAATATCACATGATGATTAATTTAATATTGATATACGTATGAGGTACTAGACAGTGAGTAATTAGAATCAATAACTATCGAACTCAAAATGTTGTAATATATTATTGTAAACTGACTATTTAGCTAGGTATATATACAGTTATGAAATGTCTGCTAATTATCATTTCACATGTTTACATATAAATATTGTTACTTAAATTGGCATGTAAACCAATAACATTGTATCATGCAAATTGTTTTTTCTTAGTATTTATGTATGTATAAGTTTTTTTTTTTGATCAATTTTGATCTATTTGAAAAAATAAAAAATCGAAATCTTTTGTAAATATTTCAATTCATTTTCACGGCGACTATACGTAGGTGTACATCTGTACACCGATTCAATTCATAATGGAAAAGGTCACTTGATAATATATTATGTGAACAAGTCGTTCACAATTATGTGCAGCGTTCAAAATAATAATATATTATGTTCATGTGCATCGAATAATATATATATTATAAGATTTAATTTTTAACAATGAATTTTGCGTATATTATTATTATATTAAAATTCAAGGGCGAGTACAAAATCCATAAACGTAAATCAAACTGTTATTAAATTTTAAAACAAATATTATATCCTGATATTCTTGACGAGGCACACCCGACACTTTTTTTGTACAGCAAAGCGGTTATCTATTTGATTATCGTTGACCATTTAGAAATTACAATGATTTTAGTCGAGTAATAGTTTTGGTGAGTCAAATAATTAAATAAAAAATATTCTCAGCATTAGATACTTTTATTTAAAATGCCTTAAATGGAGAAACAAAATGTACATACATAAAACACTTAAAATAAATAAATAGATTATCTAATATTTTGCTATGCAATTCAAAAATAAATAACCGTCAAAAACTATACTGAACTTAGGCCAATAGGCAATCGATAAAGCGGACGACTGGCAGATCCAGTATCCAGTAAATGTGATAAATATATAATATAAAAATACACTGAATACTGCGATATTTCATCCTAAATAAAATGAATGAAATAAACTGTTGAGAATAGTGAAATCGTGATAGAAAATGGAAAGGGGGAATGGAACACACAGTGYAATTYTTTTTAAGGAACAAAAATAAAAAAATTGGAAATAATTATTACATAATAATACACAGTGCAAAAGACTGCAGTATGTAATCCTAAGTAGATCAAATGTATTAACGTTTGGAGAATAATAAAATCATGATAGAACGATATATTTTGAGGACAAGGTTATAAAACTTTAAAGATTGTGTACAAAAAAATTAACCACAGCTATATTATGAAAAAAAATATTAAAAGATGGGATTAGCGCCGCAGACAATGTTTTTCAAAAAGCACAAAAAGAAAAATAGGAAAAAATTATGATATAAGAATATACACTGAATGAGTAATAGAAATGAAATAAATTATTGAGAATAGTGAAATCATGATGAAACGATATGCTATTTAGTTTTACATACAAATAAGAGATTAATAATTGTATACACAAAATCAACCAGAAAAAAAGTATGAACAAAAAATGGAAAGAGGGGATTGGCGCCCGCAGACAAATTCTTTTTAAGAAACGAAAAAAAAAGTTGGAAATAATTATTATTTAAGAATACACAATGAATACTGCAGTATGTAAGACTTAGTTAATGTAGTGAAATAGGGTTTGGAGATTAATAAAATTATGAT